ATTTTTGTCAGGATTGTAATGTTTGAAAGTTTTCGCTGATGAACGAAACTGAATTTATTTGAGTGTTTATTGAAATAGGGAAGGCTCGTGACAAAACCTCGTTACCGGGTTGTTCAAATCCATTGACAGAAATGTGAAACGGCCAAATGAAAACGCATACCATCTGTTATTAGTTCGCCCTTCAAGTGAATATTTTTTTCTTCACATTTTAATTGTTTTGAAAGGGGTGTGATATTTGAACATGTATGATCTGCCTGGTTTAATGAAATGCAGTGAAACTCCGTTAATTCAAAGCGCACATAGTTCCCGTTGAAACCCCGGGATTAACTAAGGTTGTATGTAAGGAAACTGACATTGCCTTTAAAAAGCATTTGAAGGGTCTAAATTTAAGTGCAACTTCAGGGGTTCACTCACTAATAGTATCGTGAGTGATATTCTCGTTTTCCCTCTCCCTCTCTCTCCTGTCTTCCTGTCTCCCTCTTTCTCTCTCCTCTCTTTTTTCCCTCCCTCTTTCTTTCTCCTCTATCTTTCTTCCTTTTCATTCTCTTTCTCTTCAACTCCCTCTCTTTCCCTCGCTCTTTCTCTTTCTTTCTCTCTCTCTCTCTCTCTCTCTCAATACCCATGCTCATTATTATTTTCGTCCCCCAAAATGTATTCGTCGCAGTATTAGGAATGACAATATTTGTGAGCACGTGTATCTAGACACATCTGGCAAAACTAAGCAGAGATATACAATGAAACGTGAGCGGCGTGGCTACCGGTAATGTGTCAATACATGCCCAGTATATTCACTCATCTTGGGTGATCTGAAGTTGGGTTTTCAGACGTAATGGTTGTAAACTTGGCGAACAAGCAAGATATTTAGCACCTTGATACACTGTATAACTAATGTCTCAACACTGAATAATTGCTGAAGATTTGTCATTTTATTATAGACTATAGCCTCTCTCACAGTCCCTGAACCGCATAATTTTCAGTTCTGCTCTGCCCTTTCTGCTTCTGCGTTAAAGCCCTAAATGAGGACAGTCTAGATTTCCCCCTTCTCATTGGGGCTCCTTTTCAATTTAAAAGGATTTTTTTGTTTCTTTCAAAATTATATAAATTCAGAGACTAACTGCTAGTTTGCCAGTTTACCAATAGCCTGATATGCACAGGCAGTTTAGAATCCGATTTGTGCGACTGACTGAATTTTGGCACTGATATTAATCATACATCTCTACCCCACTGTCAGATGCATGAAACCTCAGTTCACAGTAAGGCCGGATATTGATGACATGCATGCATTGTGATGTTTTTACCCGTTGACCAACGTGACTGAATAGCCGGACAATATAACCCATATAACCGGACACCGTGACAGCCATGAAACAGTTTGAAGACGTGACTCCAAAGGGTACTGTGGAGAAGGAAGGGGATATTATGATGTATTGGGTGATATGAGGTGGAAATGTTGAACCTGTGCTTGTATACATCTCACTGGTCAAATACCTCCCCGAATCAGCTTATTGCTCGGGTGATGCTGCTTGTAAAGCCGTACCTCGACACTAATCCCCCATTCCGGCCTCACTAGATGTCGCACATACACCGTAGTGATCTCTTTGGTAAATCACTGGAACAGAAGATAGTTTGACCCCAGCTGGATGGACATCTAAACTGGTCTGAATCAGCCAAGTAAAAAATGAATTCATATTTGTTTGTTTGCAACCAGCGGAGTATTAGTGTATTGGGGTGGGGAGGTTGACTTGCGGGGGTGGGGTGACGGGGTGGCGAGAGTGGGGTACAGCGGATCGCCTCTGTCGCTATGGCTTATTAACTTTGTGAAACGCATACAACCATTCATAAATAGTAATATTGTACTTTTCAAATGCCCATATGTTCCGGTTAGAGTACATTCATCCACGTGCATTGTATTCGGAGATCGTGCATGTCACCTGCTAACTTGACCTGTGTCGTGGCGGGTTCAATCATACATTTATTCAAACTAGCAAGATGTGTAGTAGAATGTAGAGGCGATGTGTCTATAAGGGAGGGGGAAAGGGGTGGGGTGAGAGGGGTACATCTCGGTATTTATGTTAAGGCTGGACAGCGTGGTCAGCATCGGTCAGATGAGTTCACGCAAATATCAAACTGATGGGAGATCCCCCGACACCCCATCCCCACCCCACCCTCATCCCGATACTAGATATTGATGCTAAATTCATATTCTAAATGTAGTATTTTTATGCTAAGGTATTATTTTAATACTATTTCAATAATTATTTTTACTGAGTGACCAGAATTATTATGAACCTAATTTGGTATTTTTCGTACTTCGTAACCAGGATTCGTTAATCCCAAACTACTCTGATCCTGAGTGCCTCGCTAAGGATTAGATTATATCATCCGAATTAATGAGACTTTCTATATAAGTATAGGAGTCCACATTACCGACATCTTTACTCTTTTTAAAATGAATAGGAACGTTTAACTATGATTTAGATTTATATTCATTTCGATTTTCAAACGTTTCCCAACTTCAAGCACAAAGGTAAACGAATTAAATTCAATTAACATTTAAAACATGTAACATTCCTGATTTGACAAAACACGAATGACACACATGATTGTCAGGACGGTTTTATAAAAAATACAACTTCGAAATGACTCGAAATCAGATCCGAATGAGTAAACGTTCCGATATTTTCGGTCGGCGATAAGAAACGATAAACTGTTCCCCGTCAATCACACTAAAGAGAATCATTGACGTTGAGACTGATTTTGTCTGCGACATCAAACATCTACCTGTGGCGTAAAACTCTCTATTCATCATCATCATGAAAACAGGCGTTAGCATCTCACAGTGATGCGGCCATTCCGTTATGCAAGTCTGTCCCTTAATAGAAGTTAAGTACAGACTCCAGCTTTCTCAATAAGTCCGCCGGACCAAACCGGGTGGAAAACGACTTCCTTTCTCGAGAAATAATTATCTATAATTTGTAGACGGGTGTCCAGTTCAATTTATTGGGTATATGGGTGATATCGGGGTGGGGGATTGCGGGCATTAGTGTATCCCCTGGGGGTAAGGGGTAGGCTCGTGCTCACGGTAAGCGTTCAGGTATACGCTGTCTGCTTACATTAGGTATACCAACTACCGCGGTCAGTGTTTGTCCGAACACCAATTGTCCAGCATAAGATGTGATTATGAGTACATTATCGGCCATTGTGGACCTGTCCGAAGTCGGACCTACCTTGAATGAGGTCTTTGACAGATTATTATTGTCAGTGTTGTATACAGTGGAATATTGAACATCGTATGCATACAGCGCATCATTCTATTCAGTGTATATAATCTACGGAGCGAACTCAATGTATTGTTGGGAAAAATTGACCTCGCATTGATGGTAGGTAGATTTGGACTGATAAAATAAGGCGGCGTTTTCTCGCGGTACTGGGAGCAGACAGGAGAAAACACGAAAAGAATTAAGGATGAAAGAATAAAATACAATGTATCCATTAGGAGGGTTCCATTATTGAAGGGACAGTGGGAGCGTGAATAGACTGAATGGATTAGTCTGTCGCAGACTTTATATAGATGTGACAGATGGACATTGACCACAATGATATATTGTCAAGATATACTTATTAAATGGAAACTATGAACGGGCGAAAGAATGTTGTACTTAGCAGTAACGAGTGTTGGTGAGTGCATCGGGCATAAAAGTGCTACTGTATGAATCCCATGAGAGTGAGGTGAGGTGAGGTGAGGTGAGGTGAGGTGAAATTGGGTTTAACGTCGTGCTTGAGAATATTTCGCTCATATGACGACGTGCATGCGTGTGTATGTGTATGTGCGGCTGCTTGTACTAGCCCAGACTTAAGCTGGTTTTATAGTGCTAGCTCACTGAGATACCACGCCGCAGTGAAGCATGAATACCCCACTCAGACACATTATACTGACACCGAGCCGACCAGTCCTTGTTGTACCCATTAATGCCGAACGCCAGGCAGGGACCAACAAGTACCATATTTTAACGTCTTTTGGTATGACGCGGTCGGGGATCGAACCCGCGAGCTTCCGCTCTTCGGGTTGACGCTCTAACCACTACACCACGGAAGCGGTCCCCCCTGAGAGTGAGTGAGTGAGCGTAGTTGGCTATACCACTACAACGGTACGAGATACCAACAAGGGTCTTCAAAAACTCTACCAATCTGGTTCCCAGCATGAAGATCACTCGCTTTAACCACCAGGCTATCATCACAGACACACACCCTACACTTACCAAAATAATTTTTTAATGATATCAGAGTTCTCTGAAGATACAAACCGTCTTATTTCTGATCACATTTTTAAGATGATGATTATTATTACGTATGATTGTAGTTATAAATACCAATGAAATAGATGCTTAGCACAAATGAACAACCTTTTAAGAACTTTGTGTCAAATATCCAGCATTTAGTGTCAGCAAAAAAAAAAATACAAAATCAGTACCAACCAAGCCATCACGAATGCGTCTCACGTCGTAGAAGATGAGAAACGTAAGAGAAACGTGAAACTCCCACTTTACGGTCCTGGGCCCCGTTTCACAAAGCTCTCGTAAGCCTAAGATCTCGTAATTTTTCTCGTAGCATTCGTACTCCCTATGTTACAGTATAGGAGGTACGAATGCTACGAGAAAAGTTACGAGATCTTAGGCTTACGAGAGCTTTGTGAAACGGGGCCCAGGCTAGCTATTCTCGAAACGTTCGTAGCCCATTCTTAACACATTGGCTACGATCAAAGTTACGAATTCTTAGGGCTACGGACGTTTCGAGAATAAGGGCCCAGTGAACAAACTTCAAATAGCAGATAAGAACACTTCTACTTGCATGTGTTCCCTAATTCGTTTTATCAATTATATACGTTCCACTTCCAGTTTGCCATTTAAGTCATATTTTAGCGGTTTTGTTGGATCATAGAGACCGGTTATTGCCTGGCATTGCCTTTTCGTATTAATTCTTTTACTGTGTTTTGGCAACACCACCACCACTATCCTTATTTACCTACTTATATTGACAAGTACAGTGTTGGATCAAATTCGCAGAATCCTTTGTTCGTAGAACGAAGTTAATCATAGATCTACTGGTAATAGAGGTATGTGAGATGGGGTTAATGCCAATTTTCTGTATTTTATAGTCTTCAGGGTGGCTTGCTGGTCTTAGCATCAGTTTGTCACACTGAACACCCAGGTTCGATTCCGCACCTGGATACAAGGTGTTAAGACCATGCTTTGTCGTCAGCCTGGAAACATTCTTGAACTTTATTAATATTTGTCGAACAATAAAACGGATTTAATTTTATATTTCTGAAAAATGCTTCAGTTTATCAACAACTGTTACCACTGCAACATACGAGCACGGGCATGATAGCTATAGATCCATTTCCATGAAATCTGACAACGTGATATTAGAATTAAGTTAAAGCTTTCCGTTTGTGGCTGTTTGGTTATGAATATGATCCGCAGGTCATAATGTGGCTTGTATCATCGCCCTAACAGATGTCCGGATCACTGCTGCGGGCGTCATACAACGCCGAGGCCACCGCTCTCATTGAACACTCTAGAAGAATAGTCTCATCCGGGAGAACATTTGTAGGTTACCGAAGATTGAAGTTATTCTAAGAAATTGAAAGCATTTCGGATTTTCCCAGAAATGATCACGTCCCGAGATTGAGCACTTAGCCTTGGCCTAATATCAGGCTCCATTAGACTAACTCTTAGTCTCTGAATATATTTACTTTTGATAGTAACAAATAACCCATTTATATTGAAAAGGAGCACGATTGAGATGGACGATTCAGAACCTGAGGAAATCTAGATTTGCTTCATTGAGGGTTTTAGCATAGCAAGGGACAGCTAGGCAGTAGGGAAAATAATGTGGGAGACAGACTAAGGTTTCATATGCAATGTAATGTGGAGGAGTGAACGGACTGTACCTAGACTCCCGTTTCGTCAATGTAAATATATAATTTATAATAAAAACAAACAGCTACATTTAATTTGAAAAGAAGCATATGTGGCATGGGGATTCAGAACATTAACCTGTGGAAATTCTAAACTAACTCCATTTAGATGTATATCATTATGTTAAGGACTGGGCGAAAGAGAATAATATGGTTTAGGGACTATGAGACAGTCTACAGTGCAGCTGCAAGGCCCAAGATTGTTTGGGTTGTGTGGAGGTAGAGATACATGCATTACGACGTGTATGTACGTTCCCTTTTGAAATATAATTGATATATTCCTAGAAAATCGCAACTGACAGTATGTCTGTAAGACATAATATACTGCCAATCAAAACTTTAGACTCACTAGTGTAAATATAGCCACTTACTTCAGGCAACCGTTCTAAACTAAATTTTGCAAAATATTCCATATTGTTTAAAGGTACTGTTTACACATGAACTGATGTATTATAAAACAAATTTGTAACGTTGAAAAGATTATTGTCATGAGTTCAATAAAAGATAAAAATCAGTGAAAATTGGCGAATTCTTAACAAAACTTTACACCAAAACACAGCTGTTCACATGCATGATATTTGCATATGCATTTCAGCAATTTGATGCATGATCCTCGTGCAATTTATATGCATAATGTCTGCAGTTGGTTCCCCTAAGTTAGCAGAGAAATCAATCTTCGATGTAACCATATATATATACATAACATATAGTGTGTGTTTTAAGTGAGTCTAAACTTTTGATGGGAAGCATATGTCATATATAGCTAGTCAAACGTAGCGACATTTTCCTCTGTTTCGTTACTGGCCTGCAGTAATTGTAGCCTGACATTTGATGACCGTATCTGAATCTGATTAGTTATTGGAAAATCTGAATTATCTCCCCTCCACCGATACGATAGCATTCAGCATTGTCGAGCTGACCGAACAGGGACGGCCGACATGCCGAATGATAGTCACCGGTGTTATATGAACCACAAGCATTAAACACTTTTATGTGAATTTTAATGTTTTAATCACCCCGCTACTGTCATGGGCGGATCCAGGAATTTTGAAAGGGGGGGTTCAGTGTGGGTGTCGAACCCCTGAACCCCCCCTCTGGGTCCGCCAATGTACTAGTATACAAGGTCTACATGCGACGAGGAAGAGTGATCCGATGGCCTTTGGGTGTATATGCCACCGGTTACAAACAATACAAATTGTTGCAATATGTGAAGCCCGTTCCCGGAGTTAACCAATTCCATGTACATGTAGTTCCCACCCTCTCCTACCCAAACACATACACGAGTTAGTTTTACAATATATAAGTCTAATTTCGGAGCACTCTACTATTAAGAAACAGCCAGGAGATGAAACTTTAAGGTGATAAGTGAAGTTTGCTAGAGTTGAGACGGGGATGTGAGTTGGATGGGGTGTTTGATCGGATGTATGATCTAGCTGATCCTAGACTAACGCCTAGTCTCTGAATATATATGTAATAGAAACTCCTTCCAACTAGAAACGGAGCCCCTGTGAGAAGGGGGGAGATCCTGACCCTGGGGAAATCTAGACTGTGAAACAGCCAAGGGGTTCCCCCCTAATATGGGACTTCAACGGTCATGCTGCCCCCACTCCTATATTCTACTGAAATTGACGTAAAACACTCCTTATACCCAAATACTAGGGCTACGACAAGGAATGTATTGTAGCCTCTTTCGTTTTATTGCAAATGAAAACATTTTTGTGTTTTTTAAACAACAAAACCAATTTCCACGTCATTCGAAGCTTAAACTATTAAGCAATATCTGAAATTCCTGATAACTACATTATATTGATCGTGGCAGTACTCCGTTGTTTGAATTGGTATTCTTGGTGAACTTGTTGGCCATTTTATCCAGTATTATCATGTTAATAACGTAAACAGTAATCCATGACTATAACCACCGGTGTGGACGGTATACTCCACAAGGAGTCGAGAATGCAATACTACTATTTGAACTGATCTGCTGATGAGAGAATATGTTAATGTCTTGCACTTTTAATCTCAATCATGTGGATTTACTTCTCTCTCTTTCTAAAGTTTGCTTATTATTATCATCACTATTGTTGTTGTTGTCATTATTATTATTATCAAAAGGTGCCCCCTCTAAATGGACAACCTCCGTGGTGTAGTGGTTAGAGCATCTGCCCGGAGAGCGGAAGCTCGCGAGTTCGATCCCCGACCGCGTCATACCAAAAGACGTTAAAATATGGTACTTGTTGGTCCCTGCCTGGCGCTCGGCATTAATGGGTACAACAAGGACTGGTCGGCTCGGAGTCAGTATAATGTGTCTGAGTGGGGTATTCATGCTTCACTGCGGCATGGTATCTCAGTGAGCTAGCACTATAAAACCAGCTTATGTCTGGGCTAGTACAAGCAGCCGCACATACACATACACACGCATGCACTTCGTCATATGAGCGAAATATTCTCAAGCACGACGTAAACCCAATTTCACCTCACCTCACCTCACCTCACCTATTATCAAAAGACATGTCCCATCCCAGTAAGTATTTCAAAAGGAGCTCATATGTCCTCAAAATGATGTATGAATCGGGGTGAGGGACAGGGAAAATATACTTTTCCCGATTTGGGATCGTAAAATGGTCGTGTCAGTGTTTTACGGCGTAGATTGCTATCAGTGTTTATAAGTCGGGCATGTGTGAAGCATGGCCCCCAACCACTCCTCCGCGTTCCTTCCGAGAACTCTACATCACCTCTGACCTCGACTCCGGTCACTTTCCCATACCCGAACGTTGTTAACAATCGTCCCGACTCGTGTCATTCCGTTAACATTCACGGAAACTACCGAAAGGTCGGCGAAAGTGTGGGAGAAATTTCTCGTCAGTGAATAGTGTCTATGACTCTATGTCGTTGAATGTTTCAATAAAAATATATTGAAGTAAAATAGGCTATTCCGGCCACGTTTTTTTCTGAAGATATGTAGATATCCGACACATGTCCACTAACACATAAATATTGCATGGTTGTATTGTTCAATTGTGTTAGGTGTCATAGCGACTTCTGAGGTCTGAATGTGACACGGGACGGTGGGGTAGCCTAGCGGTTAAAGCGTTCGCTCGTGACGCTGAAGCCTCGAGTTCGATTCCTCACATAGGTACAATGTGTGAAGCCCATTTCTGGCGTCCTCAGCCGCAATATTGCTGGAATATTGCTGAAAGAGCCGTAAAACTAAATTCACTCACTCAGTCACTGTGTGAGACATTATCCTCTCTGTTTTTGTTCTAAATGTGTATTAAATGTTTCAGACGACTGTTAATACACTATCTGTGTACTGAATTATTGAATGTTTAGGGTCTCTGTCGAAGACTATCCTTCCTATGTGGAGTACAATACATTCGTACCCAGGGTATGCGTGAGACCTCGTCATTTTATACGTCATTTAAGACATCGAACAAAATCTGTACACCCTCAAACATGTTGTATTGAAACCTATCTCTAAATGATTTTTGGGTATTGTTTATATAAATGAGTGAGTGAGTGAGTGAGTGAGTTTAGTTTTACGCCACCTTTAGCAATATTCCAGCAATATCACGGCGGGGGGACACCAGAAATGGGCTTCACACATTGCACCCATGTGGAGAATCGAACCCTGGTCTTCGGCGTGACGAACGAACGCTTTAACTACTAGGCTACCCCACCGCACTCTCTATTTAAAGCTGACACATATTTATTCCAAAAGTAACTTAAAAATCAAAATGAAGTATGTAGCACAACTTCTGTCGCTCGGGATTTGAAAGGGGCATATTTTTACCTTTTTGACAGTAGGTGTTATCAAGGCGGAATAAACACGGCCCATAGTAGGGTCGTCATGTGACAACATGGAGAAAATGCGGAAGTAGAAAGTATTATTACCTAGAGGAGCTATCTGCCACTGATGCGTCGTGTCAATACTGAGCTGGGAACTTTCATCTTGAAAACAGGTGGGCGTTCAAAGATGGCGTCGGTCAAGAATTGCACATGTCTATGAGCAGTGTTATCGCACAGGAAGATAAGTGCGTAGAAGAAATAATGACCTGGTAGACAGAAATACTTTGGTATGTTAATCAATACTCAGGAATTACGACCGTAACACGGAAGGTGTGTTGAACGTGTTTTGGGCTCAGATATGGAATTGCAATCACGTGATGATGGCTCACAGCGTCCTGTATAACTTCGGATTAGCGTGCAGTCACGTGGTCTAATCCGGTGGGTGTTTTGGTGCTATGGTGTGTAAATATATACATACAATGTAATCTTGGTGTAATGATGTCATACGAAATTATATATGCCCTTGTAGAAGTAGTTGTTTGGACGTTCTTGATAAATGGGAGTGAGTGAGTGAGTGAATAGGTGGGTGAGTGAGTGAGTGAGTGAGTACACACACGCACCTTCAAGCACACACAAACATAGACACACATACACATCACACGCATGTACATGGAAAGAATACTCCCGACAAGACCACCACCCCCCCCAATAAATAAATAAATAACTTTAAATAAATAATAATAATACACACACGCACAGAAAAAATATAAAAAGAAAAGAAAAACCAACTCAAAAACACCCCCAAGATCCCCGAACAATAAAACAAAAAAAACAAAAAACAAAAACGAGCCGAACCCAAACAGAAAAACCAAACTACGTATATCCATTTTTACTTCATGATTACCAAACAGTCATTAATCACTGACCCCCTCCCCAATATCGAGACATAATGTCGCAATAACCCACGTCAGCTCGTGCATGAAGTGGTCTTAATATAACGCACCCGATGACACACCCAAAGATCTGTGCATAATTCTTACACAGGGGATTATGGATAATCTCGTTATGAGCGATATCTCAACGTGATTCAACATCGTAATTATAAAGCAATCGCTGAACATGACCTTCACTGCGCATGTTCTCGAAGTGCGGGGGTGGCATACGTGTCACGTTCTCCACTGATAATTCCCCGGCAAGGATTTGCTTTGTTTCCCTGTTCACGGTGCAATGGATTTCGTATTCCGCGAGCTACTCAAGCCCTTGCACGAATGTATCTACTATAATAGACTGTAGACCATAGAAACAGACATCAATAGGGCTAAAATCTAATATCTTACAATATTCATGTACGCGCATTGTCTGAACAAGTGAATTGTGGTCTTGAATGGTGGAACCCTTTTGATCATCACGCGGATATGTAGTTCAACAGATAATATTGATCACACTAAGATATATTTTAAACATGTCTTTCTCTTTTTGCCAGTTCCCATTGTCGCCATCAACGGCGTTGTATCACACCTTCGTTACATCCGAGAAGAAGAAACATTGCATCAATAGACATATTATCGACCTCTGTACACTCGGAACAAAGGTGCCTGGCTATTTTGATTAGGGTTCGTGACATACAAGTGCATTTTTGAAAATGTCACGAAATATATACCTTAGTTTATTGAACAGCCTGTATATCTTGGCTTTAAGTAACCTCCTTCTGATGTATTCAACCAGATAGTTTTCGGAAATGCGACGCGGAATATTCCACCGGGAGCTTATTAATTTGTTTTCTAACACAATGATTGTTCGGTGTCATGCAAGTACGTTATCGATGACAAGATGTATCACAAGGTATGTCCTGTTCCATTGTGTGGATGTACAATAATGGTATGCTATGTATTGAATGGAGGCCGGTCTTTGTCAGACTGTGCAGGAATCAGACAGAGGGGTCTAACAATGGCAAGAAGGCCTAATACCCTGGGTATTTGGTGGTATATTGTAGCTTCTGTTGGATCAGTCGCAGCGAGTGAGTCGGGATTGAGAGAAGTTTGAAATGTTTCAGTAATTTCACGACGTGTAAGCTTTTGTATATGGTAGAGACAGTTATCATTTTTGGTAAACCAGAGTTGCGGCCCTTAGTCGTGACAGGATCAGCTAGTTGTGGGTTTGAATCTGAAATCCATCCGAAGAGATTCAAGGTATTTTATCAGAGGCCAGCTTGACATTTGACACTCGTCATCTCCCCACCACAAAACACACACACACACACACACACACACACACAGAGAGAGAGAGAGAGAGAGAGAGAGAGAGAGAGAGAGAGAGAGAGAGAGATAGATACACATCTGGCTCCACATCCACGCCCACATCCACAATCACCATCACCATCACTAACCACAACCAACAACAAAAGCTAAAACACGATCTTGTTTTAAAAAACACATTTTTATTTTACACGACTTTCCTTCTGTGTCCAATTCCCGAGAAAGTCCACTTGTGTCTCGGCTCTGCACTGTACACCAGCATAAACACCTCACGACAACTAGATATTTAACCTGTAACCTGCTGTTTCCATACACATATATTAACTGTTGTTTTTCTAACAATAAGATAAACCGTGTTTCATATGTTGGTATTGTTCGTGACAAACAGCCAAAGCTAATCCTCTTCAGTCCCTGGGAGTATTCCGGGAGCATGACGAGGCATACAAGATTCCTGAAATCCCGGAACCAGTTCCGTCACAAAACCCATGGCACTAATTATCACCCATGGAGGACAATCAGCCGTGACGATGTCAATCACGTTTTGAACAGAGTCGTACTTTGCATTCTGAATTAATTTGAAAAATAGATCCTGCCAACGGACGTAGATGGACCATATACTACACTCCCCAATTTCAATATGCAAAAGAAGCGGCGTAGCAATGTTTGGTGCAAGTGTTTGCATATCTATCCTGACTCTACTAAACTATTTGACATAAGAAAGAATACACTTGGTAACTGGGTTTTCCTCAAGAATTACCACCGTTATCAACGCATAACTGAGCTGAAAACAGCCGCCTTCATACTGCAACGTTGAAAATTGAAGACAAGAAAATGATACACGTGTCAAATACACCAGAATCGAATGACCATTTATTGATTTATCTTTTGTGTCCACCATAAAATGTAGGGATTCAGCACCATTAAACATGGGTAAATATTTCCTTTGTCCCGGTAACTTATATACACTATCTACCTTCCAAAGTTAGGAATGGATGAGTTTAGTTTTACGCCGCAGTATTCCAGCACTATCACGGCGGGGGGACACCAGAAATGGGCTTCACACATTGTACTTATGTGGGGAATCGAACCCGAGTCTCGGCGTGACGAGCGAACGCATTAACCAGAAGGCTAACCCACCGCCTCCTTTCCAACGTAGGCACACCTGGGTACCGTTCCACAAAGCGATCGTAGCGCTAAGGTGATCGTTACTCCCATACTTTAACATAGACTTACGACAGTCGTAGCGCTAAGGTGATCGTAACTCCCATACTTTAACATAGACTTACGACAGTCGTAGCGCTAAGGTGAACGTAACTCCCATCCTTTAACATAGACTTACGACAGTCGTAGCGCTACGATCCCTTTGTGTGGAACGGGTCCCTGGTCCACATGACTACGATTTGGCTGTGCAGAGTTTCGTCTTATACTTGCTCCAGGATCTGCTGGCCATGGGTTTGGAACCCTGCAAATGATCCTTGGTATGTCGTTATCGTGTCATGGTCTTGGATTTCACTGATGACTCCAAAATCTTCGGCCTGCGTCACTTGGGTTACTTCGGACCTTTTACCCCCTTTGGACGCCAACCCGTTCAGTCCATGTTTTATCCTTTAAATTCCGAACGCGAGACAGGGTAACAACAAGTACCTTCTTTTAACATTTTGACGTACGACGCGGCTGTGAATCGAACCAAAGACTTTCTTCTCAGAGTGCAGACGCTGTGTCCACTACACCACAGAAATGACGTTCTATGTCCAGAACACGAACCAGCCTGACCCTACGAGACGATAGCTTCAAAATTTATAAGCTATTATATTCCTGTTTGTGGCAGATCATAATAGATCACGACAGTTTATAAGTTATCAAATGATCTTTGTGCGCAGAAAGCTGATACTTACGTTCCATTGAAGTTGCGATGCTGCAGCAAAAGCAGCTCTTGACAAGCCCTTATCTCCACTGCTGATCCCGTACAGTGGTTTCAAACCCACTATCAAAAAGCTATACTCGGGACCTCATGCAAAACAGTTGGGACACTCAAGTAGGAAAAAATAAACTGTATGAATTGAAGCCAACAATTGGTTATACCTACTTGGGTTGTCAGTCAAGACTTGATGAGGTAATTTTACGACGATGTCGTATTGGCCACAGTCGGTTTACACATGACTATCTGCTGAAAACGGATGGGGATGGAGCCCCTTGTGTGTCTCTTGCGATGAGGTTTTCACCATCAACCATATTCTGCTTGACTGTGTGGACTTATCGTCTGCAAGGAACTCCCATTATCAAGCAACAAATCTGAAAGATCTGTCCTCCCGCGTGAGCGCTTATCTGATAGTGAACAACCTGAGGGAAGTTGATCTGTATCATAAATTGTAACTACCGTGAAATGTGACTAACACATTGCCTGCCATTAAATTTAGTGCTAAGACTTTTTCTGATTTTAAATGACAATCAAATTAATATATGTTTTTGAAATAAAACTCATTTTGACTCTGTACTTACAATGTTTACTAATGCAGACTTGTTCTCGTAACTATATGGCTGGAATAATGCCGATGTGACGTAAAGCCCAACTCAACTCAACTCAACTCAACTCATTGAAGTTGAGGAAAGCTCTTTCGTTTCTCAATAGGAACTCTCTGGGCTGGAAAGTGTATATGGGGTTGCGGGGAAT